TGCCCAGATGGTGCTGTTGGCAGAGTGGAACCAGGAGCTGAGGCCCAGAGCTGGCAAGGGCACTCTGGGGGCTCACCCAGAGCTGCCGGCCGAGGATGCAGGAGGTCCCGCAGTGCCAGGTGGGTGAATCTGTATGGCCTTGTCCTGGGCTGGTCCCCAGCCACTGTGGGCAGTGGGGCAAGGGGGAATTCTGCCCCTCTGCTCTGCCCAGGTGAGACCCCACCTACAGAGCTGCCTCCAGCTCTGGGACCCCCAACATCAGAAGGGTGTGAGAGCAACTGGAATGAGTCCAGAGGAGGCCATGGAGATGCTCTTGAGGGCTGGAGCCCCTCTGCTGTTGAGACAGGCTGGGACACCCACGGCTGTTCAGATAAGAGATAAGAAGGTTGTGAGAACCTAGAGCCCCTTCCGCTGCCTAAAGAGGCTCCAAAAGAACTGGAGAGGGACAGTGGCCTGAGAGGACAAGACAAGAGGCAATGGCTTCAAAGTGACAGAAGACAGGGTTAGATGGCATAATAGGAAGAAATTTTTTCTCTGTCAGGGTACAGAGAAATACCAGCAGAGGTTGCCCAGAGCAGCTGTGGCTGTCCCATCCCTGGAATTGTTCCAAGGCCAGGTTTGATGTGGCTTGGAGCTATGTGTGGTCTGGTGGAAAGTGTCCTTGCCCATGGTGGATGCTGGAGTCAGAGGCACAGTGTGTGCCCTTACCTTTGATACCTGGCTCTGACATACAGAAAACCACTGAATTTCATATAATACCATGAAAACAACTGTTAAAGTTAAATAGAAAAACTAAGAGTGTGTAAATTAGAAAGTTTTCTTAAGTCACTAGGTGAAAAAGTTAAAGTTTAGAGTTTAAGATAGTTTAAAGAAGAAAAGACAAGATGGAAGATTTAGGGTGTTGTCTCCTTCCTTCATCTTCTTACTAGAGTTTTTTGGGTAGTTGTAAATTATTGGATAGAGAATGCCGCAGTGCAGCACATAGATATTGGGTCACTAAGAAAAATATTTTACTTGGCATTTGTTAATTGGATAAATGAACATATAAAAGACCTTGGAGAAGTTCTTTGTTAGCCATTTTGCACCTTTCTATATCTTAGTGCATGTAGCTCCTTGTACCTTGTATATATGTAATATAGATAGGAGAAGAATAAACAACCGAGTCCGAATAAGAGAAAACTGCCTCCTTCTCATCAATCTCAGTCCAAGGGGGAAAAGGAACCCAGCCACAAGTGTCCCATCAGGATGAAGTGGCACCAAAACGTGTGGCATCTTGAACTGAAGGCCCCTTTTGAAAAAAGGCAGCGAAAAGCTGGAGATCTCCTCGGAGAGGGGAGAAAGAGGAACTCTGCCATCCCTGTGTGCTGGTGAGAGCGGGAGAAGCCAGAACCAGACGTCTGTCAGCTGCGAGATGGACCATGGACAGAGGAGCTGAGAGATAGGCTGACCCTGAGGTCAGGTAATCCGTCAAAAGGAAGCAGAAATATGAGACATTATGTCCAAACCTGAGGGAGGTTTTGGCTCTCTTGGAAAATACAAGCAAGGAGCATCCGATCCCTGTATCCATGGATGAGCTTAAAAGCCTTTTATCCTGGATACAGGCAGAATTTCCTAACATGGATCCAGACACAGGAAGGGATACCCTGATGACTATCCCAGAGAAGGCTGGGTCTGCCCCTGCCCTCTAATTCCATGGGGATCAAGACATCTTTAGCTCGCAAGACAACACCCAGAGTGTTGGAAATCCTTTCAAAGGATGAAATTTCGGCGGTAAAAGCCACACAAGACACGGTATCTCCTTCGAACACGGCAGAAGCAGGAGACGGGGGAAGAACAGAGAATACGGGCTCAGATAAAGGACAAACAGGTTTATTATCTCAGCTGCGAAATTCTCGCAAGCTGCAGAGGTTGTGCGAGCCTCTCTGAATGCTATCATAGCAAAGGGAGTGTCTAAGCCTGTTGAAAGCCCAGAGAAACAGTCATGCAGAGACGTGGGGGCATTTCTAAAACGCAGGTAGAAACTGTATAAAGAGGGTTCCGACGGCTCGGAGCTTTTGCAAGCGTATCTGGGCTCTCTTGGAGCTGTTCCAGCGCTCGGCATGCTGTTGCAGGCAGAAGGGAAAATTCCTTGGTCGCTTGCGCGCCAGCAGCCGAGTCCTTTTCCGGCCCTAGGGGGGTGGAGCGGACAGGGGAGTGGACAGCCCTGTTCCCCCCGGGAGGGCGCGGGATGGTTCAGCCCGACCCAGAGCGGCTCGGGACTCACACGGGCACGGCCCCGTCTCTCGGGGGTGTGCTGGGAGCCACGGCTGCCAGTCAAAGTGGCGTCACAGTGACGCACGCACAGCCGGAGCTCTATGCCCCGCCTGCGTCACCGCCCCCAGGCCAGCCCTCATCGGGGCATTCCCTGCAGCCTCCGCAGCGCCTCTGCACAGCCCACTGAGGGCAGCGGGACCCCCAGGACCGTCAGAGGCAGGTGTGCTCCCTTCCCTCCGTGCCCAGCCCAGCGCGGGGGGCAGAAGGGTGGACGAGCGGAGCCGCTGCCCGTGCCGGCTGCTGTAGCACTGCTGCCATGGCAACCACCGCTGGAGCAAGCAACAGCAGCTTTACAACAGTCAGCTTTGCTCAGAGCCTGCGACGTCCAAACTGCTCAGCAACACAGTTGCAGTTCAACAACAACAGCCTTAAAGAAGCAACAGTTTCTACACCGCAGATGGCTTCACTAGATACTTCGCTGACTACACAGAGCCAAAAGGCTTTTGACCACAGCCATGCAAACCCTACAGCAGGCATGGACCCATGGATTTGAGACATGTCAACACAAAGTCCAGCATCCCTGGACTGCTTTCAACAGTGGGGAGGCTTGGAACTAGATGAGTTTTAAAATCTCTTCCAAGCCAAACTGTCCTTTGTGCTCTGTGCCTGCTCATCCCCAGGCTCTGCACTGGATATCCCTGCAGCTCCCCCGAGCAGCTGTAGGCAGCTGGACAGGCACTGTGCTCCCAGCCCTGTTGGCAGATAAATCCGGATGCTTGGCAGGGGAGGCCCCTGGTGGCCAGGGGACATTGAGTAGCAAACGGGGATAGTGGTGGCATCTCTGTCGCTGGGACAAATCACTCCTGCTGGTGCCCTGGCACTGGAGGGACAGCAGAGCGTATTCCCAGGCTACCATGAAAACCATCGGGGAGGATGTCAGTCCAAAGCCCACATCATCCCAACACCAGTGAGCCTGTGACAAACATCACCTTCCCTTTCCACAGGCTGCTTCCTGCTGGATCTGCTCCCCACACACGCCTCCCAGTGTGGAGAACACCCCTCTGCAGCCTGGCCTTTCTTGTCCCCTGATACCCGAGTGTCCTGTCCCATTTGCCAGCTGCCCTTTGGCATGGCAGAGGTGGAGCAGCATGCCAGCAACTGTGGGGAGACAGCAGGGGCCCTGTCCTCACCCCAGTGCCTGCAGTAGGGCAGCAGAGCTAGGGCCAAACCCTGTGTCACCACCCCTGGGGACTGAACCTGCAGTACTCCAAGGGGAGAGAGACTGCAGGCCTCAGACAGTGTGGCAAGGCTGGTATGAGGATGGAGAAGGTGCTTCCAGCCCCATGGGCAGGTTTGGTGGAGTTTGAAGCACTGTAATGGCAGGAGTTGCTACTGGAGAAGAATAAGTTAAAGGAGAAAAAGAAGACAGAAATCTGCACTATGAATGCTTAGTGCTACAGCAGGTTCCCTGTACATCTCCCTCCCATCCTGCCTTGGGAGACCCTGTGTAGTTCATGGGGACAGCGACAGGACAAGGAGGAAGTCATGCTTTTCCTCCCCTCAAGCCCTGATAAGGATTGCAGGAGGAACAAGCCAGGACCCCAGAGCAGGTGAAAAATACACTTTATTTACAAGTAGAAATATTTAAAAATGCTGTCTCAGCTTCCCTGGGAGGAGCAGGACAGGGCAGGTGGGGAAGTCCCACACACAGGGAGCAGGGATGGTGGCCCTAGGGATGCTAAGTTTCACCCTCTGTCCCCGTAATTGAGGCTGCAGGATATCTCTGGGGAGAGCTCAGCCCCTCCAGCCACAGAGCCTGGTGCCAGCCTCTGCACCCTTGTGTGTTTCTAGCCCTCAACCTCTGTGCATCCCCTTGCCTTGGATCTCAGAAGGGTTTAGGGTGACTGGCTGCAGGAAGGGCAAGGGGGCCTCGCCATGCCCAGGGCACCCCCACAGTTGTCTGCAAGGCAGTCATGTGGGTGGCCCCACCTCTTCCCCCTTGGTACTCCTGGGCCCCGGGGAGACAAGGAGAGGTGAGGGGGTGCAGGTGGGGGCCAGGGCAGAGCCAGCAATGCAGGGACTGGGGAAACCTCAGGATTGCTTGTCCTTGCGTGACTGGCGACTGGCCTGGAAAGGACAGAGCAAAGATGAGAGGTTAGGGACCATGGACATGACCAGGGCCCCATGCTGGGACCTGCTGTTGCCCTGGCACCCCAGGGACAGTAGGGACTGTCCCCCCTTTTCCCCATGGCCAGTATGAACCCAAGGCAGGGGTTGGGGGCACTGGGGTGAGCATGAGCTCAGAAGTGTGCCCAGGGGGTCAGGCAGTACCTACCTGGCCCTTGGGGGACTTGGCAGTGGCGATGCGGGATGAACGGCGGGTGCCACTGCTGCTGGAGGGTGTGGAAGTGTTCTTCCGGGTGACTGCCTGGCGCAGCAGGCGCCTCCCCAGAGCCCTGGGGGTGTTGAGGATGCTGAATGCCATCGACTGGCGCCTCTGAGCCTACAGAGGAAGGGCAGGACCATTAACTCAGGGTGGGACAGGATGGAGGGGTTCCTCCTGATCCCTCTTTTTCCCTCTGAAGCTTACCTGTGTGGCTGGGGCTGGCTGCTTGCTCTCTTGACTGACCTGGGAGCCACTCTGTTCACTGCGATCCTGGGTGGTCTGGGGCCGGGGGAAGCAGCTGGTTGGCTTCTTGGACTGGAAAACAGGGGGAGCAGCTAGTACTGTCATCTGTGGGTCACCCTGCTGTGGGGCTGGCAGCAGTAAGGGAACTGAGGGGCTGCAGGGGTAGCAGTGATGGGGGTGAGGGTAGCAGTGCCCAGGGAAGGCAGAAGGCTCAGCCCTTCACCTCTGGAATGGCCTTCTTGCTAGCACTAGGAGCATCACGAGTACCAGACACACCACTGTGTGGTGCAACACTGCTAGGAACACTGGGCACTGGGATCCAGGATCAGTGGGAACATGTGGCCATTGGGGGTGTTACCCACAGGGTCACAGCAGCTCCCTCAAAACCTGGAACACCTGTTGTTCCCAGTAGGGTGCTGTGATGGGGCACTGGGCTGAGCTCACCGGGGGGGTGTCAGGGTCCTGGTGGGTCTCTGAGAGGCGCTTCCTCTGCTGCTGGGTAGTGATGCTGCTGGCCTGGGTGCTGCACTGGCTGCCTGCCTTGCTGCCGGCAGTGATGATCTGGGAGGGCTGTGTGCTGGCACGTCGCAGCGTCTCCTCTGGGTCCCCCATCTTCACGTCCTCATCCGTGATGGTTCCCAAGGAGGTGGATGGCTGGCAAGGGGATGTGTGGATGTTGCCAAGGGGCACTGTCTATTCCTAGACCCCCTCCCAAACCACAGTTCTGGAGAAAGTCTGCCTGACCTCCCTGTCCAGCCCCTTACCATGCTCTCTAGGGGGTAGCTGGTCTTCAGATGGGGCGGGCGGGCCTGGTTCCGCCGCTGCAGTTCTGCAATGCGGTTCCAGTCATCCAGCTGCTCCGGCTCATCCTGGCACGTGCCCAGGTTTATGGTGTTCCGGCCTAAATCCAAAGCAAGGAAGGATGAGGGGGGTGTTCTCAGGTAAGACCTGACTCCCCCAAGCCAGGGCAGAAGCCCACAGCCAGCAGTCCAAGTGCCTACCCCACCCACACACACCGAGGCTGGAGCTGCTGGTCTGCTTCAAGCGCAGGGAACTACGGGTGACTGGCCGGTACCCAGGGAGGCCCAACAGTCCTGAATTGCCAGGGGTCTTCTCTGGGGAGGAGGTTTCCAGCTTTGTAAGAGTTTCCTGGGAGGGGAAGCTGGTGAGGGAATGGGTGGAGGCACCTGAGCGCAGACGGCCTTTAGCAGGGGAAGAAGTTTTTGTAGACTGAGCCAATGGGATGTTCTTGATGCAGATCAGTTCCTCAGACTGTTTCTGTGAGAGAAAAACCCACAGATGAGGGGATCGCAGAAGAGTTTAGGCTGAACGGACCTTAAAGCTCATCTCCTTCCACCCCCTGCTCCCTTGGCTGGGACACTTGCCATTAGACCAGATTGCTCCAAGCCAGATCCAATCTGGTCTTGAACACTTCCAGAGATGGGGCAGCCACAGCTTCTCTGGACAGCCTGTGCCAGGGCCTCACTACGTTCACAGGGAAGAATTTCTTCCCAGTATCCCACCTAACCCTGTCCTCTGTCAATGGGAAGCCACTCCCTCTTTTCCTGTCACTCCAGGCCTTTATCCAAAGTCCCTCTCCTGCTCTTTTGGACCCCCTTTAGGCACTGGCAGGGGCTCTAAGGTCTCCCTGGAAGCTTCTTTTCTCTGGGCTGAATGCCACCAGGTCTCTCAACCTCTCCAAAGCAGAGGGGCTCCAGCTCTTAGAGCATCTCAGTGGCCTCCTCTGGACTCACTCCAGCAGCTCCTTGTTGGGGGTCCCAGAGCTGGAAGCAGCTCTGCAGGTGGGGTCTCACCACAGTGGAACAGAGGGGCAGAATCCCCACCTGGCCCTGCTTCCCACTGTGCTAGGGATCAGCCAAGGATATGGCTGGACTTTAGGCTGCCAGTGCACATTGGCAGGTCATGTTCAGCTTTTCAGTTCCCAGCATGGTGGGTCCCTCTGCAGTGCTGCTCCTGATCCCTGCATTCCCCAGCAGGGGCCCCTGCTCACATCTGTCATGGTGATGTTGATGGTAGTGCGGCGCCGGGCTGAGCGGGTCTTGCAGCCGGAGTCAAGTGAGAAGTCACCCGGGAAGTTGGTGCTGCTCTTCAGCTGCGACGGCATCTCAGAGTGGATGGGGGTAAAGTAGAGACTCTCCAGGGATGACTTCCTCTGGGCCAGCCGCTGAGACAGTGGTGACTCTTCACTGTCTGATGGCAAGGCTGAGAAATCCAACTGAGAGCTGGTACCCTTCCTGCAGAGACAGGGGATGAGAGTAGCACCAGCAGGCTTACCAGGCCATCAGGAACAGTGGATTTTTGGAGTGCTGGAAGCCGATTGATCTGGTACCTGGTGGAGCTGAGCAGCTGTGCTTCATCAAGGCTATCAGTGCTCTGGTTGGCCACACTCTGGCAGGAAGACTCCTGTCCCTTTACTGTGGTAGTCATCACCTGGAACTTGCTGAGTTCCTGCACCTGTTGTTTGGCAGCCTCCACCTGAATGGGAAGCAGGGAGGCATGGATGGATCTATCCTCCAAGTGAGGTGGTGATGGAGGTGAGGACAAGGAGGGTGAAACCCCACTATGCCATGCCCACCTGAGCTTTCAGGCTGTGGATCTGGCTGGTAAGATTCTTGCAGCTCATCTCAGACTCCTTGGCCTGCAGGATGCTCTGCTGTAGCTCCTTGGCCAGTCTCTCTGATTTGCTCTGAAGCTCTGTGTTCTCTTTCTGCAGGTGCTCCATGGCTTTCAGCTTCTCTGACAGCTCCTGGTTCTGCTGCTTCTTGGCATCATAATGACTTTTTGCCTTCTCCATCTAGAATGTAAAGCAGAGAAATCCTGTCAAGCTTCCCTGCACTGTGAGGGACAGCAGGGCCATGCTAGCCCCTAGCATACCTGCCCTCTGTAGTACTCAGCTGCCTGCTCCTTCTGGGTGAGCTGCGCCTGCAGCTCTGCCACCTTCTCCTCATGGCTGGTGACTCCTGCCTGCAGCTCCCCTTCCAGTCCCTGTGGGCAGGGAAGAGACTGGCTTTAAAGGCAACCCAGGTGAGCCCCCTGGCAGCACCAACAGCTCCAGGGCTCAGCCCCCAGGTTTTGGGTCTCTCTTCACCTTCACTCTCTGCTGCTGGGTCCAGGTGGCCTTCTCCTGCTGCGTCAGCTTTTTATTCAGCTCCTCCACCTGGAAGAACATGACTACATGGAACAACATGGCTACATGGAAGAACATGGCTAGCTCCAGGCACAAAACTACCGCCTTCCCATGGAGGAGCACATCCCCTCCTCTCTAGTCAGCTCTAGGGCACAATGAAGAAATATCCTGCCACAGGGTGACTGTTCAGCACCACCCACTGCCAAGGAAGATCCCAGGACATGGCATGGTGACAGTAACCCCATGTTAGTCCTTACAGCAAGGCTGGTTGGAACTACCCAAGTGTAAGGAGCAGCCACATGCTGGAACCAAAACCTGTGTTAAGTTCCCAGTGCCCCAGTGCTGCAACCTGGAGTCCCACAAGTCATCCAGCACTCTTGGCACAGCTAGATGGCTGCTGCAAGTTCTGGCCTGGTCATGCTCTCCCTGC